TTTTTTTTTTAAAAAAAATAAATTAAATAAAAATTTTAATTTTAAATTTTTTTGGAGATGTGTTAAAAAAAAAAAAAAAAAAAAAAAAAAAAACAATTTGGAAAATGGGGTTGTTGGAAATTAAATACAATAATGGTTGTGGTTGTTGGAGTATGCAATATTTTTTTTTAAAATAATTATAGAGGAAAATATACAAATAGCTTTTTGAAAAAAAAAGGAGAAAAAAAAAAAAAAAAAAAAAAAGATGATTTTTTTTTTTTCGTCACACACACGTAGAAATAATTGTAAAAAAATTAAAAAAAAAAAATAAAAAAAAATAAAAAAATAAAAAAAAATTAAAAAAAATCTACTTAAAAAAAAAATCTTTTGGTGACATCAAAAAACAAAAGTACACTCATTGTTTTTTTTTCTTTAATATTTAATAAAAAAAATAGAAAATAATTAAAAAATTGGGAACTTTAAAAAAATTAAATTACGACATTGTTTTATGTAAAAAAATAAAAAATCATAAAATAAAAAAAAGTTAATGGAACTTTATTCTTTATGATTGTTGGTATTAAAAGGTAAAAATAACCAAAATTTTTATTTTTTTAAAAAAATACAAATCCTCAACATCAATAATAACGCAAGTGATATCATAATTTTCAATTGAAATTTTTTTTTTTCTTTTAATAATAAAAATAATGGGGTTGTTAAAAAAAAAAAATTTTGTTGAAAATCATGATGTTTGATAATGATGAAAAAGATATTTTTGGATAATTTTTTTTAATATTATTATTTTTGTTATTGAATAGAAATATTTATAAAAAAAAACAATCTATATTTACTTTTGAACTTTCTTGTTTATAAAAGAACTTGTTTTTATTATTTTTTAAATAATTTTCTACTGCTATTATTTTTATTATTTTATTTTTTTTTATTATAATTATTGTTTTTTTTTTTTAGGTACCAAGTTTTTTAGGAAATATAATTTTTATCAAAAATTTAAAAAAAATACAAAAAATAATAATGGGAATAAAAAAAATAAACAAACAATTTATTATTTTTTTTTTTATAGGATTTTTATATTTTATAAGTTATAACTTATAAAATGATATCATTTATTCAATTGTTTTGATTTATAAATCCAAACACATTCCAAACCAATTTTATTGTTTTTTTTAGTGTGGGTGATATTTTTAAATAAAAAAATAGATTCTGCATGTTGTGGCGTATGTGTATATATTGTGGCGTATGTGTATATGTGTGGTGTTATTGAGTGTGGATGTCTGTGTATTACTCTATTACTAGTAAAAATAATATGAGTGTGCTTGTGTGTGTGTTGTTTATAATATTTGTATGTTTAATGTTGTGTTTTTTTCTTTTTTATGAACACATACATACACACATTCACATATCTTATTTAATTATATATTTATATATCTTTATTTTTATTTTTTAAATATTTTTTTTTAATCTATTACATTTTCTATCTATACAAATATTTTTTTTAATTAAAATTTAATTTTTTTTGAATTAAATTTGATAATGCAATAAATTTGAGAATAAAATAAATTAAATTTAATTTCAAAAATAAGTTTCATTTATTGTTTTTTCTAATTGTATTCAGAAAATGAATCGATTGAAAAATAATAGATATATAAAATAACATGAAAGTAAAAATATTTTTTCTCCTTTCTTTTTTCCCCTTTTAATTAAATTTATTTTTAAATAAATAGGACAGATAATCAAAACCCTTAAACAAAACTTTATATGTAATTTTTTAAAACATTTTAAATTTATTTAATTGTTTATAAAGGAATACATATATACATATGTATAAATTTTATATGTTGGGATTTTCTTTATTAGGTTTTTTTTTTCTTTTATTTAAAGAAGATTTATTTCAAACAATTAAAAAAAAAAACATTTAGTTTTTTTTATTTTTTTATTTATTTTTATTATCCTTACAATAGGAATAGGCAGGTCATAATCCGGAAATGTTATCTTTTGGACGAGTGAGCTCTTTCCATGTAAATTTAAAAGATAGTGTTTATATTATAATTTTATACTCACATTTTATTTTTTTATTTTTTTTTTTTTTAATTTCAATTTTTTTAATTTTTTGTCCAATTTTTTTTATTTTATTTTTATTGTTTTTTTTTTTTTGTAAAACTGTGATAATAATTTTCATATGAATAAAAGTGTTTCTGTGTGTGTACATGTATCCACTTTTATTAATTTTAAATAAAATTCTATTTTATCATTTTTTGATTACTTCTTTTTTGTTAAAATAGATTGTATTTTTTAAATTTTATTGTTTTTTTGGGTGTAAAAAATTAAAAATAAAGAAATGAAAAAATTAAATTATATATCTTTTAAATATCCAGTATACCACAACAACCAATCATTATTATTATCGTCATCATTATCATTATCGTCATCAGAAACAACACAAATAAAATCAAATAGATTAAAATTGGAATTAATTAAAAGAAAAGAGGTTATAAATAATAATAGGTCTTTTGTATATAAAAATAGGTACTATTCTACAACAACAACACCATCGCTACCATCGAATAAAGGTAAATAAAATAGATTATTGTTATTATCATTATTTTTATAATCTATATACTAGAATTAACAATATTGATACAAATAATATTATATAGTTAAATTATAATATAAATAGAATAATAATATACAAAATAATTTGGTATCATCTTTAAAACAATATATATAGGGTTAATATTAAAATGAAAAAACTTCCTATACTATTGGGAGATTTAAATTGTTTTATATTGTTTTTCTTAAAAGATTTTACCTTTTTTTTTTTTTTTGACAATTTCATATTTAATTAAAATTAAATAAAATTTTAATTACTAACCTAAAAGTCTCTTTTATTGAATTTAGTTTACGCATGGGGTTCAGGTTTAAACGGAAAATGTATGTATAAATTACTTTTTAAGCATGAGTCCACTTATAATTTGGACAATCAGAAAATAAAACTTGGATAGATTAGAATAAATAGATAATAGTTATAATAATAAATAATAAAATGAATAAATAATAATAATAATAATAATAATTATTATAATTTCTAAAATAGATTTATTTAAAAAATATAAATAAATCTAAATATTTTTATATTATTTTATAATTGTAATATAAAATTTTTTATTAACAAATTAATTATTAAAATTTTTATAAAAAATTAAAATATAGTAGGATTTGGTTTATATGAGTCGAAAATTAGTAAACCAAAAGAAATAATTATAGAAGATGAAAATATAAAGAATGTAAATATCGATCATGTTACATGTGGTACAACCTTTTCAATAATTTCTGGATTTAACCAAGAAAAGAATAGGCAAATATTTTTTGGATGTGGTGATAATAGAGATGCTCAATTAATTGTTGGTAATGGGAAAATTCAAACATTAGAGAATATCGAAGTATTAGAATCACCAGTATTGCTCGAGGGTATTACTGGTAAGAGAGTAAAGCAACTAACATCTGGTACATATCATAATGCATGTTTATTCACAGATGGTACAACTTTACTTTGGGGTGCTGGGAACAGTGGTCAAATTGGATCTGATATTTACAGTAGGGTTCAATATGATCCATTCAACAGCAAGGTGTTATTCGATATTGGAATTGATAAAATATCATTAGGTGCTACTTTTTCAATTGCTCTTAGTAAGGATGGCAAGCTTTACTCTTTCGGCTCCTCTTCATTTAATGAATTGGGAAATGGTGATATGTTTAATGAAAGAGTACCAAAACTAGTTGATAATGAACTATTAAAGAACTCTAAAATCATCGATGTATCTTGCGGTTTCTTCCATTCACTAGCACTTACTGACGATAATAAAGTATTGACCTGGGGTAGAAATCATGAAAGTCAATGTTTTCCTGCACCATCTGGAACTGGTAAAGGTAGTTTCACAAATGTTTTATATTTAGATACATCAGCTTTATCAACTGACGATAAAATTATTCAAATTGGTGCAAATAATCTCAACTCTTATATTTTAACAGAGTCTGGTAAAATTTATTCAATTGGAACAAATGATCATGGTCAAGTAAGTAAAAAAAAAAACCTTTATCAAATATAAAAAAAAAAATACTAATTTTTATTTAGTTGGGGGTCGAAAAAGATAAAAGTAAAATAGGGGTTTTAAATAAAGTAGATTTAGGAAATTTAAAAGTAAAGAAATTCTATACTGGTTTTAAAACGGTAATTGCCGAAACCAGCGACGAGAGATTTTTTGGTTGGGGCAGTAATTTGGATCATCAATTATCATTAGAAAAAAGAGCAAATTATTTCATACCAACAGAACTATCAAATCTTAATGAGTTAAATCAAGAGCTTAAAATTAAAGATATTTCCATATCTTTAAGTCACTGCATTTCATTAACTTCCAAAAAAGGTTAATAATAAAAATTTTGCCTCCAAAAAAAAAAAAAAAAAAAAAAAAAAATTTAAATTTTTTTTTTTTTTTTTTATTTTTCATTTTTTTTATTTTAATAATTTCTTTTATAATAAACAAATATTAATATTAAATACACAAATAATATATTTTAAACTATAATAAAACAATAAATAAAATGGATAAAATTAAAGATTTTCCACAGATTATAGACGATATTAAAGAGACTAAAATAAAAAGGTTTTTGGATAATGATATAGATAATTTTAAAAGAACCCAACATCACTACCAAGACATTACAGAAAAAATGATAGCCCAACAGGACGAATTTAGGACCGAGTTAGAAAGTATAAATCTATATAAATACAATAAGATATTTAAATATATAATAATCTTCTAATTCTTTTTTATTCAGCATGGAGAAACGAATCAATTTTATTTGAAAAATCAATCCCAACACCAGTAGATGAAGAAGAGCATATTAAACAAATCAGTGATTTGGATTTTAAAAAGAACCATCTTATTTTGGAGAATGGTAAAATTGAAGAAGCAATCAACTATTATGAAGAAAGTTTATTATCGATTATGGATGCCAAATCACAACTTTTAAAAAAAGAAGAAAATTTAAAAACCCAAAATAATTATATTATACCAGATAAAGAGTATTCATATTCATTATATACAAATATCACTGGTATTAAATGGTCAATTAATGATACAAACAATAACAATAGTAATAATCAAATATTACAACATTCACAGTCTCAACAATTAAAACAAAATAAACAAAACAATCAATTTATAAAAGGTGTAATATTTAATACCAATGATAATAACAACAACAGCAATGGTAACAATAGTAGTAATAGTGGCAATTATATTAAACCATTTTCACTAGATAAAAATCAATTTTCAAATGATTTTGAAATTATAAATAAAATTTGGGACCTAATCGATGATGAAGGTGATATGTAAATGGATAAAAATTAAATATAATATAAATAAATAAATTGTAAATTTTGTATAATATAAATCTATAACTATATAACTATATTTTTTTTAATTAAATTATTTTATTTATTATTTTCATATGTACAATATGTGCAGATGAAATTAGATTATGTACATAAAGAAGATATAACTCTTTTTTTTTTTTTTTTTTTTTTTTTTGTTTTTTTTTTTTTTTCAATTATTGATTAATAATGTAAAAATAATGATTGATTAAAATATATTATTTGTTGTGGTGTTATTATATATTCTAAAAACTTGAAAAAAATTCGTTTTTTCTTTTTTCTAGTATTTCAGCTTTAATAAAATTAACACCGATTCTATCCTCTTCATCGTCCATTCTTTCATCCATCATGTGGTGTTTTAGAGGTCTAATTCTTGGTTTTAATGGTGGATTTTCTCTATTTTGTACACGATTCCAGTCGATACCATTAAAAAATGGATGGTTTTTAATGTCTTCTATACCACCTTCCAAACTTCCCAATCTCTTTTCGACATCTGCAACAACAAGTTTTTCAATTAAATCTCGGGCAGCATGATCTACTTCAGATGGCACTTGAATCTTTGCTTCTCTAATTAAACGGAATATATCATTTTGCGAACCCTCACTTACAAATGGTGGAACACCCACTAACATTTCATAAATAAGTATACCCAAAGACCACCAATCTGCAGATTTCCCATGGCCATGACCTGATAAAATTTCTGGTGCAATATATTCCGGTGTACCACACATCGACTTTGTATTCTCTTTAATCTTTTTTGCAAACCCAAAATCTGTTAATTTAATATGACCATATTGATCAATTAAAAGATTCTCTGGCTTTAAATCTCTGTAAATGATATCCATATTGTGAAGATATTCTAATGCTAATACGATTTCGGCTGCATAAACTTGAGTTACATAAAGTGATAATGATCCGCTAGCTCTAATATAATCAAAAAGTTCGCCCCCTGGTATGAATTCCTGTAGAAAAAATAAATATCTATCATCTTTAAATGTTTTAAATCTATTGGTAAATAAAAAAAATATTAATAACTTTTAATTTATAATTAATTAAATAAAATAGGTATTATACTAACAGTTTTACAATGAATGGATTATCAACTTGCAATAATACTTCTTTTTCATTACAAACATGGATTTCTTGTCTTAAACGAATAATCTTATTTTGATTTAATATTTTCATACAAAACAATCTACCAGAACTAATATGTTGGCATAATCTGACTTTAGCAAAAGAACCACTACCTAAAAGATCTAAAAGCTTAAAGTCTTGAAGCTTACTAGAGGAGAAATCTATATGTGTTGTTTGAATTTGATGATTGTTTATGTTTTGAATAATAAACTGAGCAGAGATACGTGCAAGATTATTTTGATTTTGATTTGGTGCTGTATGTTTATGCTGATAAAATGGGGCAGGTGAGGGTGATGATAGCTGTTGTTGTTGTTGGGTTGCTGTATTATATGAGTCTTGTTGATGTGGGTGCTGTTGTATTTGTTGTTGCTGTTGGTGTTGTTGTTGTTGCTGTATTTGTTGTTGTTGCTTTTGAATACCTTGTTGTTGGTATTGATTTTGTTGATATTGTTGTTGGTAATACTGTTGGTGGTAATGATGGGGAATAATACCAGTACTTGTATTAATACTATTATTTGTTGAGGCAAGGCTAGTATTATTATTTGAGTATGAATTATTTGAGCTATAATTATTTTGAGAATATGCTTGATATTGTTGCTGTTGTTGTTGTTGTTGTTGTTGCTGCTGTTGTTGTGTTTGATGTTGTTGTGTATGTTGATGAGTCTGTTGTTGAAATCCATTGTTGTTTTTATTATTGTTATTGTTACTATTGTTTCCATTATTGCCACTAAAATTATAATTACTCGTATTAAGAGTAGTGGTATTGGTTAAAGGAACCATACTAAATGGGGTTTGTGAGCTTTGTGGGGTTTTTGGCATACCATCTAGTGATTGGCTAATAATGTTATTTAGTTTTTCTAAAATAAAATATGAATTCTCCACACCACTAAACCTTAATAACATAGGACAACTACTTTTCATAAACTATAAAGGTAATAAAGATATAGAAAAAGGTTAATAATTAATTACAAAAAAATTTTTAATATAATATAATGGGTTTTACAGTTGTTAACTCTTCGAAATCCTTTGATATCTTTTGGGTCATCATACCAATTGATCTTAAAATCAAAGAATTTACCACAATTGGGGCATCTTGATTTTGATTTTGACTTGCTCCTCCATAATTAAGGCCTTGTATATTATTACGTTGTTGATTTAGTTGGACATTTGCAGTGTTTGGGTTATTGTTATTACTATGACTATTATTATTATTATTCGAATTGCTTAAGTTATTGATAGAATCATTATTATTTTTACTAGGTGAAATATTATTGGTTGGTGTGGAACAATTATTTGAATCTTCATTACTTATCTTTCTTTTTTTATATTCACCAGAATGATTCCGATTCCTATTATCATTATTTTCGTAATTATTTTCATTACTATTTCTCTTTGGACTAAAACTATCACCATTATTTCCTTCATTACAATAGTTTTTATTATTATTCATATTACTATTATTAATATTATTATTACTATTATTATTACTATTATTATTATAATTATTAGTGTCTATATTATTAATATTACTGTTGTTATTACTATTATCTATATTATTAGGCAATTGCCTGAAATTTACATTGCTATGATTAAGATTTTGATTCTCTCCACTATTATCATTGTTAAAATTATTGTTATTATTATTATTGTTGTTACTATTAATGGATTGCGTATTATCTATATCACCATTACTATAAAAAAATATGAAATTATATTAAAAACTATAATTAACATACTAAAAAATCTAAAATCTAAAATATTTACTTTATAAATGTTTGTTGTTGCTGCTGTTGTTGCTGTTGCTGTTGTTGTTGTTGTTGATGATCATAAAAACTATTTGATGAAGATATTGTTTTATTTCTTTTTGGAGAAGGTTCGACCATGTTTATTTTCTCTATAAATAAATTATCCATCATCTCCTTCAATATTTAAAATTTTAGAAAATATTAAAATAAAAAAAGGAGTGAAACGAATAGTCTAATGCTAAATATCTACTATTCTTTATTCTAGTTTTGATGATGTATTAGTCCTATTTTTGTACTTTTTTATCAATCTATTTATATAATAATTAATATTAATACGTCC